TACGCTCGTTTAGGTGAGAAAAATAATTTCTCTAACACTATCGTTGCCAGAGATTTGCCAGGCGGAAAACGAATTCGTATAATAAATATGAGAGCCCAACATATAACTTTTAACAAAGCCATTAAAACAGTTTTAAAAGATTGTAAAGAATTTTAATTGTAACGTTTCGTCTTTAACTTAAGACATCTTCAGACTAGATAAAATTACACGAGATGTGAATATATATAAGCTAATTATAATCTATTTACAAGGTGTTATGTTACTAAGGATAATAAAGGATAAGAGGGTGTATGTAAGACAGGACGATACAAATGAGGAAACAAAACAGACACAAGAAAACGGCAAATTACAGAAGGTTAAGCGGAATAGAGCTACCCTGGACGTTAAGAGTAGGTTTGAGTTTAGATATAAAAAGGCTTTCGTGAATCAATAATTCACAAGTGTCTGAGCAAGAGGAAAGAATTTTGAAGTCGTCAAAGTTGGCAGAGTGCCCTGTAGTATTTAAGTGAGAGAAAATACTAGACATGACTGGACTGGATGACGGCTGGCCTGTTATAGGAGTGAGTCCCAGGTGTTCCGATACTCTGGTGTGTAAATGGCGCATGGTTTGACCCACATACGACGCGGAACAGCATCGACACTTAAATAAGTATACAACACCAGATCTCAGGAACGTAGGAACTTTATCCTTGAAAGGAAAGAAAGAAGAGATGCGTTTAGAGGAGCGAAAGACAAATCGAATGTTGAGATGAGGATAAGCAGCATTGCAAAGTCGGTTGATTTGAGTGCGAATTTGAAGAGAGTGTGAACCTGTGAAGGGAAGGCAAAAATAGATAACCTTTTTAGGAACCGTGTGAATAGGAGGTTTGGGTTCGAAGATCTTGTTAAGGAAACGATGAACAAGACGGTCAAACATGTGGGAGGGGAAACCATTCAAGTTAAACAGTTTCCTGATAACTTCAAGCTGAGTATGAAAGTTTTCATAGCTAGAACAGAGGTTGAACATTCTGTAAAGTAGGCAAGAGATTAAAGAGCATTTGTATGCAAGAGGAATGAAGCTGTGGAAGTTAGTGAAAAGACCCGTGAAAGTTGGTTTACGATAAACAGAAGTGGAAAATTTACCGTTTGAGCGAGTTATATCGACATCGAGAAAAGGTAGTTTACCGTCTTTTTCCAGTTCGGATGTAAAAGAAATGTTTGGGTGTTGGCGGTTAAGATAGTTAAGAAAGAGAGGTACGTGGTCCAAGGATCTAAAAAGAAGAAAACAGTCATCAACATAACGTCGATACAGAATAGGTTTGAAAATAGACGGACAGTTGTAAAGCCATGATTTCTCATGGAAAGACATAAATATATTGGCAAAGAGAGGGCCTAGAGGACTACCCATAGCCACGCCATCAATCTGTTGATAAATCCGACCATTAAAGATAAAGTGACAGTTTTTAACAGAAAGAGATAGAAGTTTAATGAACTGTGAGCGATCAAAGCCTTCAAAATACATGCAGCTGGCAAAGATGTGATTAGCAACAATCTCAATTGTTTCATCAACAGGAATGTTGGTAAACAATGAAGTAACGTCAAAGCTAGCCATAACCACACTATCTGAGTTGATGTCGCTGTTCAAGAGTTCTTGAACAAAAGAGAACGAGTCCTTGATAACGAAAGAGCTTGTAGAGATAGGAGTGAGAAAGGGAATGAAGAATTTAGCTATCTTATACGAATAATGATTGACAGAAGATAAAATAGGTCTTAGAGGAATAGAGGATTTGTGAATTTTGGGAAGTCCATATAGTATGCCTATACGTGTACCAGTGGGATACAGTTCGTTGTAAGTTCTTTCATTGATACAATTGTCAGCCTTTAGTTTCCTTAATAGCGTCTTAACTTGACTTTCACGCTTAAGGGTTAGCTTGATTGCATCATCATCATCCAAAAGTTCGAATTTTGAGGTATCCGACAGTATTTGATCCATCTTTTTATTGTAGTCATCCTTATTAAGAATTACTATGCCATTTCCCTTGTCAGGTTTCATGTCTAGTATTTTCTCTCACTTAAATACTACAGGGCACTCTGCCAACTTTGACGACTTCAAAATTCTTTCCTCTTCCTCAGACACTTGTGAATTATTGATTCACGAAAGCCTTTTTATATCTAACCTCAAACCTACTCTTAACGTCCAGGGTAGCTCTATTCCGCTTAACCTTCTGTAATTTGC